TAGATGAGAAAATGATTAATATAAGTAACTATCTTTAGTAAGAAAAATTGTATTTTTGAAAAATTTAGATAATTTAGACTTTTATTTTTAATACTTAAAATTCTTTTATTAAAATAATTTTCCAAACTATTATTATATTTATAAGTAAAAGACTTATATCAAGGCTTTGCTTTAGGAAAGGAGAAGTGAAATTCAAAATCATTAACGACCTATCCAGATATAGTAATCCTTGCCTGAAAAAAAAGAAGAAAGAAAAAAGAGAAATAAAAGAAAAAAATAGAAAAAAAAATTAGGGAGGAGAAGCTTGAGGATTAGTGCCTAATCAAAAAATGGTTTTACATTTGATCTTTATAAAGAGAGAAACTATTCAGAACACGTAGAGATAACAAAAAAAAAACATATTTATAAAACTCAAATCCAAAGTACAACACTTACATAAAAAGATACAAATACTTATATGAAATGTTTTCGCAAGCACACCTTTGAAGTTCTTTGACTTCTCTGACTCCAATGGACTTTTACAGAACTCACTAAACTGTAGAAATCACAAAGACTCTATATGTGACTATAGAACTCTCTAACATTTTCTAACACACACTAGCCCTCTCCCTATATGTTTAGAATTAATTTCTATTTATAGAGCTTCAAAAATGACCAAGGGGTGCTTCAAACATCTCTTTAAAATTTGGCCTCATTCAATAGATCTTCTATAAAACAACTATGGCGCCTAGGTGCCAAAACTGTCGCTCCTAGGCGCCAACCACGTTCTTCATCTGGTGCCGAGGTGCCAGATTCTGGCTCCTGGGTGCCAATTCGACTGGTTTTGCCAAATTTCTTTGGTATGATCCATTTTGCTTCTTTTTGATGTTTTTCTGCTTCTTTTTGCTTCTAAACTCTTTTTTTTACACCTACAACCAGAATACACAAAATATCTTTCATTATACCATAATATCCTAAAAAATGGGTATAAAATGTGCATAAAAAATAGGTACTTTTAAGGTGGATCATAGACTCGTCAATCAAACTACTACAAGAGAACATATACAAGTCTAGCCAGGATAAGAAGTTAAGTAATCACCTCCCTCATGTCACACATAAAGATCAAATCAATTCATAAATAATCCAAACGTCCACCAACATCAATCAAATTGATCAATCCACTCTAAAACAAACACAATACAACACAAATAATCACAACTCACAAACATACCAAATCAAGCGACAGTGATAACCATGGGTTGCCTCCCATGAAACGCTTAGTTTAATGTCGCTAGCCCGACAAAGAATTTCCTCCCGAAACAAATTTCTATTTAAGTAAACATCGATCAATCACCAAATCTTTTTCAGATCTTAGAATTCCTACTAAATCCTCAAATTTTAGTTTTTCTTTCAACTTCTCAAATTGTTTCCAATTATTGTTCCTCAAGCTTCTTTCAAGATCTAATATTCTTTTATTGCTATTCTCAATTTGCATATTAATATCATATTTAAAATTTATAAGAAATTTATCTTTATATGATAATTCTAGGTCTCTTAAATTTTTAGTTAGATTCTCTCTAAAAGATTCATATTTTAGATCAAATTCCTTTTTGATATTCTACTGTTCAAGTTATCTTCTAATTCTTCTCATTGGTACAAAGTAAATGGTGGAGATGGTCTTTTTATATTTATCTTAGTTGAGAAAATTAGTTTTTCTAATTCCATAGGAATTTTTTCCATTGGTTTTTCAATCTGCTTATCCTCATTTCTCAACTCAAAGATCTTTTTAAATCATTATTTAGGTTGTTATATTGATTAGTAAACATAAAAGTACATAATTTCAAATTATTTTTCATCATTTATGAAAAATTAATTAGTTGGAATTGCTTTTCAATGCTAAAGAATTACATGTGTCGAAATTACATTTGCAAAATCTTATTGAATATGTTGTCATGGTAAGTATATTGATTGTGGAATATTAGTTTACATAAAATTTAGCTATATATTATCATTTATAATAAATTAATTTTCTAGAATAATTTTTAAAAAACCAAAATGTATTTTTATTAAAAATATTGTTGTTAAAATAAATCACATTTACTATCTTGATTAATGTATTTATAATCGAATATCATATATCATAAAAAATTAAATCATAGTTTACAATTCATAAAAGATAGTTTTATGAATTATATTTTTATAATCAGTGGTATTTCATTTCATATAAATAAATAATAGTAGTTAACTTATCAAATTTGTAAATTGTTTACATGTTTGTGAAAGTGATTAATGTGATATCTGTAAATTAGATTGTATTAGAAGTTTGTGTTATAAGAAAAAATATTAAAAAAATGCAATTCTCTAGATTTGTATTTTTTTTATTTTTCTTAAATTATTGTATTAGTTTATTTTGCTGCATTATAGCTTTGTTTATTTTAGCACTAAGCCCGTGTAGGAGTGTACAATGTTCTATTATAATTTGGGATAATATTTGTCTTTTGTAGGAGAGTATAATATAACAATATGAATTGGGGTTATAATCGTATGGTGTAGGAGATCACTGTATTGCACTATTAGAATATTTTAAGAAATTGATTTCATAGACCAAGCATCAGATATTGTGGACTTGGGGCCCAGAGCTATTTAAAGCTGCATCAATGAAAAATTTATTGTTTTCTTATTTGTTTACTTTTTGCACTTTTAGTTGTGATTATGGTACATTGATAAAAATATCAAAATTAGTTTATATTGGGAAAATTTGTAAATTGTTTTAAAGATTGAGATTTAGGTAGGGTAAACAATTAAAATGCTTGTAGATAATTATCTTGGGACATGTACATATCATCCAAAGAAGATGATTATGTTTTTTGGAGTTTACGTATGTGTTGAGAAGTATGTAAGAAAATTATATCCTAATTTTTCTTAGGTTATTCAAAAGCTATCAGTAAAATTTTGGACTTGATGTGAGTTCAGGTTGAGTGGTGGCTAATCATGGATGAGGCTAAGGAAGTGGATGGAGGTGTGAGGAAAAATCAGAGTAGAAGTCTTAGAAAATAATGAGTCAATATAAGAGAACTAAAAATAATAATTTTATTTTAACTAAGAAAAGCCAAAACATGATATACGAAGCACCAAGATAAAAATATGATGAATTCTTCACTCAAATTATTTCATTAAATATTTGAAGTTATAAAAAAATTAGCTCATATTTATAAGCATTACAAGACCCTTGAGCTAAAAATTTTGGAGAGAAGAATCGACAAGTGTAAAATGGGAAAAAAAAAGTTAAAGGCCATTAATGAAAAAGTTTTTACTATTTTTTTCTTATGTAAACTTTGGCCATACATATTCTTTGGTAATAAATAAAAATATTAAAAATACGTATTTACAAAAATTTTCAATTATGAGCTCTTATTGTTATGCTTATTCATTAATCTCATTCTCAGACTTTAGCCTAAACTTTTGTAGTTGATTTGATATTCTTGATCATTATGAATGCTATATCATGAGTAAGTTCATATATTTTAAAATAAAATCTATGCTTAGCAGACGGGAATTTGCTAAGGTAAGAGAGAAAACTGGACTGGTTGGGTGGAATGAAGAAAGAAACTTATAATATGAGGTGAGATGCATGTCTAACCATTCATTATTAAATGGCCTCGATCTTTCCCTATTTCAATAGGTTCTAAAGTTTGGAAGTTGAATTGAAAAAAAATATATCATAAAACTATGCCAATTTCTATGTTCTATAAAAAAGACGCAATCATTAAAGTATTTTAAATTATAAGTGAAGGCTTTTCATAACTTTATCATAATATTATTGGGTACAATTAAAATCCTCATCTCCAACCAACCTTTGTTGACAAAGATTAATAATTAAATCGAAGAATCTTATAAGAATTTTGTTTGCATAGCATTATTATCATATTATATCAAAATGATTAGAAAATTAATATATATTGAGAATACTTTCTTCCCATGAACCAGATAAGGAGAGATAATGGAATAAAATTGATTCTTGAAAGGTTCTTTTTAAATCCAAAATTGCCACGAAGAGCATTGTGGAGATTTTGAAAACTAGTTTCATAATTAAATAATATCATTTTCCTTTATTTAATTCAATCAGTAGTGATTCATTGACCTGTTTAGTTCTCAAAGAATATAAGATTCATATAAAAATCTCTAACTACATTTTTACATCTATAATGACTTTAAGGTGAGCAAGAAATGTTTTTTTTTTTTTTTACATTTTCATTTTATTTTGAGGGAGAGGACACATCTGCAGATGATATTAGTTGCCTCTCCATATTAAGGATTTGTTTAGCATAGTCTTCTGTTAGTTTTTTATTTGAGATCACCACCACAATTATGTTTTAGAAATTGTTTTATTAATTTTTTAGAAATTTTTGTAGTGAAAAAATATTTTTTGCAGCCATACTATAAGAAACCTTTCTCTGACATTTTGAAAAAAATAAATACTTATAATTAACATCTTAACTTTTTAAAAAGTTACTTCTTCCCATAGCTTTATAATAACTTTTATGAAAAAACACCTATCCTAAACAGATCTTAAGCGTCAGTACGGGAGTAACTACAACTTTTTAAAAAGTTGATTGTAAAGCTCAAATAGAGAAAGTAGATAGGTTTTTAATGCTCGGTTTTAAAGTGCATTACAAAGAAAAATAAAAAAAAATGATTATTTTTAATTCACTCCATTACATAAAACACATGCGCTAGCCACACTTTCAAAGTTGACCCTTTAGCAGCACATTAAAAGATAGGAACCTAGCATCAAATATAAGGGCATTTGTGGTACTTCATGATGCGCTATCCTCAGTATATATTCATAACGCAAACCCTAGCAATTCATTATATGTTGCTGGTTGCCGCCAAGATATTCAGTTAAGTTCCCGTAATCGCAGGCTTCGCCGCCCTCAACCTCCGTCACCAGTGCAGCCATGGGTCGTATGCATAGCCGCGGGTATCCTTGATTCACCTTTTCCTTTTTCTTTTATCGTTCTTTTTAGCATTCCTCTACCTGTTACCGATCTTTATATATATTTTCTCATTCCTCTCGACGAACAGCAAGGGTATTTCCTCTTCGGCTTTGCCTTATAAGAGAACTCCTCCGAGTTGGCTTAAAACCTCCTCCCAGGATGTAAGGTTCCTGCTCCATACAAATTTCGCTTATTTATTGAATCGCATGTGTTTATGAGTTTCGTGATGTGTAGGTAGATGACAACATTTGCAAGTTTGCGAAAAAGGGACTGACGCCATCACAGATCGGTGTAATTCTTCGCGACTCTCACGGTATTGCTCAGGTAAAGAGTGTGACTGGAAGCAAGATTCTCAGGATTCTCAAAGCGCACGGTATAGTCTCATATTCTTAATCACTTTTTTTTCTATTAATTTTATACATAGGAATGAAGGGTTACTTATGTAAGCCCTCTTCTATTTATTTATTTTTTGTTTTATGATGATGTTCATTAGGGCTTGCACCGGAGATTCCCGAAGA